ACTTCAAACAATAACAATATGATGCTTATTTAACTTAAAAATGTTACTAAGTGTGTTTTAATAACCGATATTCCTATCTGTTATATACCAAAATAAGTTAATTTATGTTTTCATAACTACATCACGCACGAAAAGCTCAATGGATGTGTTAATTTTTTTTTTTTTTTGCTTCTACTCGATCATTTCTGTGGGTAAGTGGTAAAATTTTTGAAAAACAGGGCCAGATATTTTAAAATTTAAATTATTTAAAGGCTAAATAAAATTGTTAAATTTCTTCATAAAAATTAAAAGCCGTTGAAGAGATTTAAAAACATTTTTGTACGGGGTTGCAACCTTTCTAAAAAATACAACAACGGTTAAAAAATTGAAGCTTACTTAATACCACAATATGGGTATCACATGAAAGGTGTACGCACAAGCTTTGGACTAACATGTTTTTAAATAGGGTTGCCACCCATCTGTTAATTAAGATGAGGTAATTATGTAAGTTAAGTGAAATAACGCAATATGCATTTTTGCACATTTGATAGCTTGGTATGGTAGCGACGATGTATCGCACTCTATCCAGAAATGTGTAGGGGTTAAAGCTTTATTCTAACACCTTTTGCTTGAAACTCATATTTTACTTAACCGCATGCAGAATGATTTAAACAAATTTTATTATAGAACATCTGTGAATTTAAGTATGTGTTTTCGAAAACCTTTGATGAGAGTGCATAAACCTTCCATTTGATACCCATATTCTGGTATTAAGTAACTTTAAATTTTTAATAACCGTTGTTGTATTTTATAGATCTCTTCGAACACTTTTAGTTTTGATAAAGAAATTAAATTATTTTATTAAGCCTTTAAATAATTTTAAATTTTCAAATATATGGCAACCTTTTTTAATTTTTTACCACATAATAATAATAATAATAATAGATTGGCGCTTACACATATGTTAGTGTTTGGCCGAGCTTCTCCTCCAATTTGTGGCGTGCGCCTTGATGTTTTCACACAACCACTAAAAAATCGAGTAGAATGCAAAAAAAAAATTAACTCATCCTTTGAGCTGCTCGTGCGTGATGCGGTTATGAAAACATAAAATAAGTAATTTTTAGCAAAAAAAAACCGACTTAAAAAAAATATATATATATCTATATATTTCATGATCCAATGATCGGATCAAAACCAATTTAGTATGGGACCACCTCTGAGACACTACCTTTCCGTTGCAAAAAGAATTATTGAAATCGGTTGACGTGGTGCAAAGTCATGCGGTAACATACATAAAAAAAAAAAAAAAAAAAATATTCCGACGAACTGATAACCTTTTTTGGAAGTCGGTTAATAACTCATTTTGGTATATAACAGATAGGATTATCGGTTATTAAAACACATTTAGTAATACTTTTAAGTTAAATAAGCATCATATTGTTATTTTTTGAAGACTTCTGAAGGGATAAACAATTTTTTTTTTACGATTTTATAGCAATTCTACGAAAAAATATATTTTCCCCTTGTAAAATACATGGGAAAATTCAAAGTCTCGGCGGCACGGGTAAATATTACCACATTTCAAAGTAAAAAAATACGTGTCTCCTTACTTTTGATATTCTTCAGTTCTGGGGGTGGCAGCAGGAAAAATCAAAAAAGTTTATTTTCCTATGTATTTTTGGGCCACCCTAATATACATATGTACATTAGACCGTTCATTATTTCAACTTTTTTTTATACATACTGTTTGCCGGGCGGAGAAAGATGTCTTTTGGTCCAAAAATAAGCTGTGTAAAATTTTATTCGAATACATGTAAGAAAGTCTAAGTTCGGGAGGAGCCGAACATTAAATACCCGGCGCAAGTATAAAATATATATTTTTTCACCTTTCCAAAACCTGCCGCTAGATGGTAAGCCGGGTGTATCAATTTTGAGTAAATTAGCGTCCTTATATTTCGAAATATTGCAGTTTCAAGCATTTCTGAAATTTACCGTTATATAAACCGCGGCCTTAATTTCAGTCCGATTTCAATAATTTTCAACGTTTTACTTTTATGTGGCAAGCACAATAATATACCGAGTTTGGTACAAATTGGTAGAACGGTTACCGATATACATATATGTGATCATAAGTGGGCGGTGCAACGCCCATTTTCCAAAATTTTACCACAAGCGTATTTCTGGGTAAGGAATTGTTGCAAGCATCAATTTTGAATAAATTAGCTTTAATATTTACTGATTTATCGAAGATTTTGCATTTCTCTAAATTACCGCTATATGGGATGTGGGCGTGGTTATTGTTCGATTTTAAAAATTTTCGGCCATTTGGTATGCTGTACCAAGGCCAACAACTGGAAGAAATTGGTGCAGCGGTTACCAATATATACACATGTAACCATAAGTGGGTGTGGCTACGCCCATTTTCCAAAAATTTATAATATTCTTATTTTTCAATGAAAATTATTGTAAATATCAATTTTGAGTGAATTATCTTCAGTAGTTACTAAAATATCGCAGTTTTCGTATTTCTGGAAATTACCGTTATATGGGAGGTAGGCGTGGTTACAGCCCGATTTCGCCCATTTTCAACACTAACCTACTTTGGATCAATAGAAACCTATATACCAAATTTCGTTGAGATATCTCCATTTTTGCTCGAGTTATCGTGTACACGGACGGACGGGCAGACAGTCACCGCTTAATCGATTTCTCTTTTCATTCTGATCATTTATGTATACATTTGTCTATATCTATCTCGATTCGTCTTGGCTGTTACAAACAACCGTTATGTGAACAAAATTAATGTACCTTTGTGCACAAGTGCGCTCGGGTTTAATGATAACTCTTAGTACTTACGCGTTGCATTTGCAAATCTAGAAAACCATATGCATTCAGGTAAACTAGTTTTTATTTTGGGGGAAAATATTTACAAATATAAGTTTCTCCCGCAGAAACTTCGAACTTTATCTAAAAGTCCACTGTTTTGCTATCTCCATTTATTCTATTTTATCAACTTTTTTGCCAGCCAAGGCATAACAATTCGAAACAGTTGTTACAAACTATTACAAAATAAAACAAAACTTTTGTCAGCTGTTTTTCTAATTGCGATGTATGCAACATGCCAATGGAATGATATTTTAATTGATTTTATGATCAAATTTGCTGTACAGTATCGATACGTTGCTTGAATCCAATATCATTTACTAAATTTGCTATAACTTTCCTATTTTCCAATCGATTTGCAAAAGATTTGGATCTATAGACTTTGAAATTAAATAAGCTTTTATATAGCATAAAAATAAGTACAAAAGTTTGCAGCTTTCCGGTGTAATTTTTATTCAGATTCTGTGAGTTATTTTACATAGAAAATTACAATAAAATACACGATTTTCAAGTATTTTGTTAAAAACTGTTTGCCCTGAATGCATATGATTTTCTAAATTTTCAAATGCAACGCGCAAGTACTTAGAGTTTTCATATTCGAATAAAATTTTTAACAGCTAATTTTTAGACCAAAATACATCTTTTCTCCCCGGCAAAACATTTTTTTTAACGAAGGGTCAAAAATGGGTTTACATTGTCGTCCAGTATTTCTAGAAAATCAGGCGCAAATTAAAAAAAATCTTTTTTGATTAAATTCGGTGTGCCCTGCTCCAACTTTTCTTAGTTCGGCGCCCACCTCCTACACAACTTTTTTTGGCTCCAAGTACTAAGTTTTATGAATTTTGGAGAAAATGAACAGGCACATTTATTTTATTTCTAAAGAAGTTCCTACTTCTTCATTTTAAAAATTACAAAACGAAAACATTTACAATACCTGCATACTAAATTAAGTGCACGATATGTTTTTACACTGAAACTTTAAATTTTACCTACATTTTATACAACAAAAGCTGAGCTAAGGCAAGCAGGGCTCTTGCCATCGAAAACGGGTCTCGTCCAGAGAAGCGTCCATTTTTGGCTAAATGTTGATTGTGATTAATAGATTGGCGAGTCATTAATATCTACACCTAAGATTTCCACTTTATATTGCATATTATTTATTTTATGTACACATCAGAGTCTTTCCTTTCAGCTCTAAAATAAAAATTCCATAATTTTTTTAGGAGGTGGGTCTATAAAAGGAAAAATAGAAGCTGAGCTCGCAGTTCCTCGCAGCTGGAACTATTTGAGATATGACACGCATACTTAATGTTAACTGGTCCTAAATATAATTTAGCTCGTTTACTAGGTCCTTTTTAAATATTCCATTTTAAAGTAAGCACTCAAAAATTTTACACTCACAAAATTATGTAGAATTTCAAGGTAAACTGTTTTATACATTCCAAAAGTTTTATAAAAATTTAAAGCAATGTTTGACCATAGGTATATTCAAAAGCTATTCATGAATCAGATTGGATTTTTATATATGCGTACAAGTGGAAAAATTAATTCAAATTACTTGCGAAAGAATTAAAATTTTTTCTTACACATTGTTCTTACTTTAAAGCTCGTGTCATGATTGCCAATATACAATTTTATCCAAAATTATTTTTGGTTTGGATTAGCTGAATATTTTGCTATGCATCTGCGTAATTACTTTTTCAGAATTCGCTAATCCGTTTTTACTACTTTTGGCCACTGTAGTCCCTTAGTGCGCCGTAACGACGTCGCTTCGAACTCACCCTCGCTCTGTGGCAAATTGCGTTGAAAACGTAAATTAATGGGATTGTGTACACTGGTATATATGTACATATATGTTACCGGCCAAACCCGATCTTATCACAAACTAGTTTTTCCTAGACTAAACTAGATCCGCACTTTCCGCGCTTCAAAAAAATAACCCTCATCAGTTCAACTCCAGGTACGCAGTCCACAATATTGTTGCGCCCAACTTGTTTCCGTATTGGACGGATATATTAAATATAGGTAGATCTAGTTTAGTCTAGGAAGACCTCTTTTGTCCTAAGATCGGGTTTGGCCGGTAACATATATATGTATGTATATTTGTATGTATGTATATAAATGAATGTAAAACATACCTCTTTATCTATGTTACTGTCGGGACGCTTTTGTAATTGTGTTGTTAAGCCACGAATAAGTGAGTCAAAGTTATCATTATCCCACAGCAAATTTAAATTTTCAGGTCGTTCAAAATGATCACTTAATCGCATAGTTTGATTGAAATTTCGTCTTGAGGATATTAATCTGTTGGATAAAGAAGAGAAAACCGTTAATAGTTCCTCATAGATTTAGTACATAAACGCTAAACGTGAGCGCAAAGCATTGTGCTTGCATAGTCTTAATCAGAGTGTCCAGATTTGGTGATTGAGCGCCAATTCGGCGAGTTTTTAGGATATTTGCGCGTAAAAATTTAGGAAATCGCCTTTGGCGATTATTGGCGATTTTCCCCCTTGAATTCAATTTGTTTTGCGCTATCAGATAAATGCGTCGAAACACGCGATAAGTAGGTTATGGAGTTAGAGCTTAAATTATGATGTAGCAACACTTTTTATCGTTATCGATTTTGTTGTAGCATATCGAACATTTGCCAATATTAAACCACCATTTGTGACAACTCAGGCTGAATGTGAAATTGCAATTTCATTTGTGGAAATAGCTGATCCCGCCTTATTATAGCTTTTATTTTTATCGCCGAGCGCTTAAAAGCGGAGCAACGCGATTGTGTATTGCAGTGACGAAGCAAATTTCACTATTTCATTTCAATTTACAATATTGTCAACTAAAATTCAATGGTGTACATACCCTGCAGGGAAAGCTACTAGTTGTGAACTCGAATTCTACCGGTTTGCGTTTCAGCCGAACTAGTTCACGTTCTATCCTTTTTAATGTTAGCGACTGGTATTTTTAACATTGCGATGTCCTACGAGATGTCAATTGTCAGGCTAAGCATCAGCATCTACTAGTATAAATACTAGTAGCATCATACCAGTTGATGAGATAGTCTGCCAATTCATGCCCCGTGAAAAGCATAAGTGTGCCTTTTTGCTCGCGATGCTCCAGCAATCACAATGGCCGACAGAGCAAAGCACTCGCGTGGTAAGCCTGAGGTCCCAGTTTCAAATCCTGGCGCAGAGAAAATTTTTTTATTTTCTATTTTTTATTTTATTTTTATTTTTTATAAATTTATTTTTTTGTTTATGCTGTTTATTGTAATTTTTAAATTTAATAAAAAAAATATTTTTGTTTAATTTCTTTGTTTTCATAGCACAAGTATTTCTTAATAAATGTTTTTTGCAATGCAATTAGATTTTCAAATTTGTTATTTATTTATAAATTGAATAAATTATTTTTACTTACATTTATTTAACTTTCAAAATCTTAACCACCTCCAAGCGGCCTCGAACTGCGTTTCAGAACCAGAACCAGTAGTATTCACGTGACGACACAGCCGACATTTGTAAGAAAAGCACTTAATTGCGTTTTATTTTTGGCTTTTGCAATTCAAAGGCAGATGTCGCTGATCGCCTAAGTTCTTCGAAATTGACGAACTGGTAGGCACATACTAGTTAATGAACTAGTATTTTTTCTCACTGGTTTGGACTGCAGTGTAGTTTAATAACATGTGTATGCGTTCATTCCGCGGGCGCTGCTGCTGCTGTAACTTATTCAGTGTTTTGCAAAAACAAGGAATAATAATTTTTTGTGGTAGGTGTGTATTTGGTATTGTATTTGTGCTTTGGCCTTCTTGTATTTGGTATTTTATTTATGCTTTTGCTTGTGTGTATTGCGGTGGTTTCCCTATAGGGTAACCCCGAACTGGTGAACCAAAATTTAAGTTCCGTACTAGATCTTTATCGCAAAAAACGAACCAGTCTGGTATTAACTAGATCGCCACCAGTTCAAAAGCAGCGATATGTGGCACTTTTAATAAAAAATGGTTGAAATATATATCTAAATTGACGAATTTAGAACTGGTTCAAAACTATAGTAAAAGGGATGCAGAATGAACTAGATCTCATCTGGCGAATTTCGAACTAGTTCGAAACTACTGAAAAAGGGATGCAGCGGGGGCTTGTTTACTTTAAATAGATTTTTTCTTGGCGGGCTTTTCGTTGAAATACGCTTTCAGTCTGCACGTCGTAGATGCTTTTTCATAGTAGTTTGGTAATACAAAACTAATATTTGTGTTAACATCTTAACATTATGGGACCTTCTGGAACATAACCAATAACAGTCAGCACCTCTGCAAATTCAGCTGCAGCCAAAGGTATGTAAACTTGTTTTCAAATGCACAATTTCCCTGCAGTGAAAACCCAAACCAGTTAAAAAAACTACTAGTTCATAAACTAGTATGTGCATACCAGTTCCACATTTTCGAAGAACTTAAGCGTTCAGCGACATCTGCCTTTGAATTGCCAAAGCCTAAAAAAAAAACCTAATTAATTGCCTTTCTTACAAATGTCGGCTGTGGCGTCACGTGAAGACTACTGGTTCTGGTTCTGGGATCGCAGGTTCGCAGGCCGCTTGGAGGTGGTTAAGATTTTTAAAGTTAGATCAATGTAAGTAGGAAAAATTATTTCAATTTAAATTAAATATAAATAACAAACTTAAAAATCTAGTTGAATAACCAAAAAAAAACCTAAATACAAAATATAAATAAAAGGAATATTATAAACAAAAAGTAAATAAAAAAATTTCCCCTGTGCCAGCGCTTGAACCTGGTACCTCAGGCATATCACGCAAGTGCTTTGCCCTGCCGGACATTGTGACTGTTGGAGCGCCGCGAGCAAAAAGGCATACTAATGCTTTTCATGGGGGATGAATTGGCAGACTATCTCATCAACTGGTATGATGCTACTAGTATTTCTACTAGTAGATGCTGATGCATAGCCTGACAATTGACATCTCGTAGGACATCGCAATGTTAAAAATACCAGTCGCTAACATTGAAAAAGGATAGAACGAGAACTAGTTGGGCTGAAACGCAAACTGGTAGAATTCTAGGTCACAACTAGTAGCTTTCACTCAAATAATTAAAAATTTCTACCATGGTAACCCAAAAATTTTTCTGAAATACTGCTTATCGCATCTTAAGTTTGAATTACCTCTTCCTCCTTATACCTCAAGGTGTAAACTCATAAATTTGCATACTCTTCAAAGTAGAAGAATAATTTCGGCAGTCACATTTATCTATGATATTGTTAATGGTAACATTGATTGTCCTCTATTGTTGGATTTGATAAAATTCTATGTTCCTGTAAAAAATCTTCGGCGGCATTATACTTTTTCTATTAATGCTTGTAAATCCAACTATGCTTTGAATGGACCTATCACTAGATCTTTAATTGAGTTTAATTCAATAGAAAGGAATTGCTGTATTGACTTTTCATTAAGCCGTTTCTGTTTTAAGAATCTACTGTTTTCTTATTTTAAGCATTAATTACTTATTAAGTTGCCCTTAATTTATATACTATACATTGTTAGCTAGTCTATAAGAACTTATTGTTTCATTGACTTAATAAACCAAATACAAAAAGAAAACATCTTGTTACTTTTTTCGTTTACAACTGGTTCGAAACTATAGAAAATAGGGTGCAAAGCGAACTAGATCCCATATGTCGAATTGAGGACTGGTTCTGAACTATAGAAAAGGTAATGCAACGGGGGACAATTTCCAATACCTATGACACCGCTGTGTTAAATTCGCCATTTGCATGCAAAAGAGATTTATCGTGAACTAGTAGTGGTTCTAAATGTACTAGAAGCGCACCAGTTCAAAACTAGAGATTTTCCCCACAGGGATCATTGTACTCTTTTAGTTGTAAAAATATAATTAAACACACGAGTTTTGTCCCGAGTAATGACGGTCTCGGCGGTCGATTTAATATTGACTTATCTTTTATTTTTCAGTGTTACAATAGGTACTTATGTATATGCAAAGTTCAAGTTTCGTTAAGTTAAGCCCTGTCAAAGTTAACTGTTTTAAATACAATGTTGCTAACCAAATGTTGCTAACCCAATATTGATATAATCAATTTTCTTCATCCTCGGCCCCGGCTAATGAAGATGCAATCTCCATCGGATACAACAACTGTATTGGCCGCTTCAGTATCTGCTGGTTTTGTACCCGAATATCGCACGATCGAACACGGCCATCTCTTCCTTTGTAAACGTGAATGATTACCGCCAGTCGCCAGAGCAAACGAGGCTTGTTGTCTTCGTGAACTAATACCACATCACCCACTTTAACGCTTCGAACTGGCCCGCTTTTGTTGTGGTGAATAGTTCGCAGCTTTTGCAGGTATTCGGTACGCCACCTCTGCAAGTATTTCTTAATTAAAGTTTGGCGCAACTGCCATGCTTTAGCTATTGATGAACCACCGCTTTTAAAATCTGTTTGGAGTAAAGAAGATTTCCAATTAGTTAGGGAATGAGATGGAGTAAGTGGCTCCAAATCATTTTGGTCGCTAGAGATATAAGTTAAAGGCCTCGCATTGACAATGCTTTCAACTTCCGCTAGCAATGTAGTGAGGTCATCTATCGTTAGGTTCGCTTTTCCGATTGCTGCCTTTAAGCAATTCTTGACGCTTCTAACAAGCCGCTCCCTAAATCCTCCCCACCATGCGGCTCGCTCTGGAAAAAATCTCCATGAGATATTCTGGTGTGCCGCCATTTCTTGGACTTCGCTGGTTTCCATAAGGTCGTTAAATTTTTGGAGCTCAAGACCTGCTCGCTTAAAAGTTTTAGCATTGTCCGACATCATAACCGCTGGAACGCCTCGTCTCGCCATAAATAGTCGCAGTACATCAATGCAGCTTTTCGTTGATAGATCTGCCACTAGTTCGAGATGAACCGCTCGAATCGCGGCACACGTCAGTAGCATGACGTATACTTTCCGCTGTTCGCCGTTGTTGTGTGCCTTTGCGTAAAGTGGACCCGCGAAGTCTACGCCAGTTGTTTCAAATGGCCGGCTCGTTGATACTCTCTCGGCTGGTAATGTAGTCCAGGGTTTGTTAGCACTCTTACCATGCAGTTTATTGCATATTATTCAATGCCGCAGAGTCGTTTTGATTAGCTGCCGCGCTTTCACGATCCAAAATTTCTTTTGTATTTGGCATAGCACTGAATTGATGCCACCATGAAGTACGGTTTGATGCGCCTCGCTTACAACTAGTTGGCTGTAATGAGAATTTTTGGGTAAAATTATTGGCCTAAAATTACCATAATCGCTTGACGGGTGTCTG